TGAGATAGATGTGGAGAAACACAGTTTCAGTGAGTGAATACTTTGGGTATATAAGTTCGGTAATATATTATAAGAAAAATGGAAGTTATATACCTATTTTGATAGTATGTTTTTGGGTAGATAAGTTCATATGTTTTCGGGTATGTGGTCGGGGTATATAAGTTCAGTAATATATTATAAGAAAAATGGAAGTTATATACCTGCTTCGATAATATGTTTTCGGATATATGATTGGGGTATATAACTTCAGTAATATTATATAAGAAAAATGGGAGTTATATACCCACTTCGATGATACGTTTTTGGGTAGGTAACTTCAGTAATATATTATAAGAAAAAATGAAGAAGCCTACCTGTTTTGATGATACGTTTTCAGGGTATGTAGTCATGGTAGGCAACTTCAGTAATATGACAGAACACTACACTTTTGACGACATGTTTTTGGATAAGTCAGGATGTAGTAATCTTCAGTAATATTATATAATAATTATGGAAGAACACTACACTTTTAGCATATATACTTTCGGATATGTTTCAGGGTATATGGTCGGGTGTAGTAATCTGCGGATTTATTATATATATAAAATGGCAAAACACTACACTTTTTGATGACATGTTCCCGGATATGTTTTCGGTATATTTTCAGGTAGGTAAAGTGTAGTAATCTTCGGTAATATTATATAATAATTATGGGAGAACACTACATTTTTTGATTATATGTTTTTGGTATGTTTTGGATAATTATTCGAGCAGGTAACTTCGGTAATATACATCTGCCTTCTTACATATATGCTTGAAGTTAACTTACTTTTTTTGTCACTTGTTTCATATTGGACTCTTGAATATATATCTAACTGATAGCATACTCGATAATGTGTATATAGCATAGTTAATAGTATTCCTTGATAGCAATTTCGCGATATACTTGACAACATGTATCCGATAACATTATTTTTTCTATTAAATATTCTATGCAATATATAAAATGACATCAGTACAAGATCACAATATCAAGTTGGATCAAACTATTAATAAAATTATAGCACAAGAGATTGAAAAAGCAATCAATACTTATATAGAAAAGTTTAACCAAGAATTTGATTCTGAGCTTGAAAATGCGTTTAAAGATATAATAACTATTCGTAAACTTGCTATCAAGAATCCTGATACTACCAATGATGTGTAAATCATATCATATACTATTACTTTTTTTGTCTCCTCTGACCTCATCGTCACTCGAATGACGACAGTGGCCAACTTTTGTTATCAGACCGCATGCTCACTGCCAAT